AAATAATGATAGCTTAAAGTAAGAAAAAATATTTATTTATTTTAAAATATGAAAAAATGATAATTAATTTAGGATAAAATAAAGAAAAAAACAACAATTACTTTGAGATAGAGAGAATAGCATATTTAAAAATATTAATTTATAAACTAATTTAAAATGTTCAGTAATACATTATATTAATTATTTTATTAGTTATTAACTAATAATTATATTATTAATTATTATTAACAATAAACAAAAACACAATTATAATAATTTTTGTGTGTGCTTAATCTATGCTTGTCCCTGTGGCTATATGACTATGCCGACATGGGGTAAGTAAGCTATTGAAGTTACTAAAATGGACCCCTTCCTATATTTCCTTCCTATTACGTATACTTCTCTCCTTCATCCTTCCCCAGCACACAGCTTTGATTCCTCTTCCTTTATCTGCCCACTGAGAAAATAGGCTCATTCGAGTCTTTTTCATTACTGTTATTATATGAAATTCAATGATAATCATAGAAGGATTCGTAATATAATAATACCACACAGGTAGATTTAAATTAGGGAGGAAGATTCTAGGGAATTTCTTCATGTAGCTGGGCGAAAATTTTATTGGTTTTTTCCTTCTTTTTCCTTCATTTTCTTCAACCCAGACAAGTTGTAAGGTAGGCGTCAAAAACAATTTCTTCAACCCAGACAAGTTGTAAGGTAGGTGTCAAGAACTCAAAGATTGTGTCTGCTATACGGTGAAAATGTGTATTTTTCAACCCAATTGGTTACCGGTTTTCAACATGAAATCCTGTTGAAATATTGCTTGTCGACAGAGAAAAAGGTATTTCCTAAATAAGTGTCTATTGCACCGGAAATAACCAATTAATTTAGAGACATGATCAGATAATTTTGTTTCAAACTTCATTACATGTTATATACCTATCAAAACTAACCAGCTACCGTAGTAGTTAGAAAACCTATAATCAGATAAATTATGGAGATCGACCAAGCAGATAATTCATCACTTTTTTTCTTGAAGAAAGACGATTCATCACAATAATTAATAAAAAAAAATATTATATAATTTAGATTATATAATATTTATTATTAGATGAGTTGAACTCGTGATATTAAAAGTTAATTATCAATGTCAAATGACTTTTAATTTATAATTTAATATAATCTAAACAATAAAATAAAAGTTTCATAATTAATTAATAAAAATGAGTAACTTAATTAATTAACAGTGTAGTTTAGATTATAAAACAAAATATTCATAATTAACTAATTAAAACAGGTAATTGGACTAATTAACGCAAAAATAAGAGAACGGAAAAATACCATTGATCCTTAACCTTTTAAGTAGGTTGCAAATTAAGTCCCTAGCTATTCCTCTTTTGTTTTAATGTATCTCTCCATCCCATCATCTGCTGCGCATATCACATCTCAACCTTATAATTTAGGTAATTTGATTTTTGTATTGTCTATAAACGACCTTACACGTGTTTGAGTTTAGAGTCAAGCATTGAGACCACAGATATCAGAAAAATTAAAAGCAAGAAATTAATGAGAGGGCACCTCTACGAATATGTAGTACTGTTGACAACAACATTAATTTGATTCTTTCCATTGGCCAAGGAGTTAAAAAGTTAAAAAGAGATGAGAGATGGCATCGAATTAGTACATTTGGTTGTGTGAATCATATATGCACATGTATATAGGTAGGTGTAGGCGGAGGACCACGCCGGCGTGGAGGGGTTCCCCCACCGTTGGCGGCTATCTTGTCCTCATGCTTAGGTTGTCGGCTTCAGGCATGGAATTTGAAATGAACTGCTTGTTCGAGGAAAATGATGGATGCAGCCTCTCATATCTTCTTTCTTTCTTTCTTTCTTTTTTTCTTTCTTTCTTTCTTCTTCTTCTTCTTTTTTTTTTTTAGTCATAACTAGGCCTGGGTATGGTTTGGTTTTAGTTTAACTAAAATTAAAATTTGATTATTTTTTTCATTTTTATTAACTGAAACCAAATTAAATTGTTTAAGAATTTTTCAGTTCAAAAACCAAAACAATCAGTTTTAATATTTCGGTTATTGATTATAACTAAATCAATATTAAATACGTATTTCAAGTTTAATAATAAATATACTAATCAAAATTTGAAAATTTAAAGGATATAAATATAACAAAATGTAAAAAAATAAAAAAGAATAAATAAGAGTAAAATATAAATTTTGAATTTTATTTTTTAACTTTTAAACATATTTTAAATTTAAATACCAAATTATAATAAAATTTATAAGATAAAACTTAAAAGTTAAATTAAATAAGATGGTTTTTATATTTATTTATTATATTTAAATGACTATTGTTTATTTATTAATATAAAGTTTTATTTTTTTATTAGAATTTAGTTTTGAATTTTGAAAACTCTAACCATTAATTGACTAAATATTTTTAGTTATCTAAATAAAATTGAAAAAAAAAAACCAATTATCATTTATATCTAATTATTTAATTAATTATGTAATAATTTTTAATTACTCATTTAATTATCCCGATCGTTTAGCCCTAACTCATAAGAAAGTTGGGGCACTGATACCGGTTTCTATTTAATAGGAAGGTTGGAAGATTAGTTAACTCATTTCTACCATGTCTTTAATATCATATTTATCTATTTTTTGCTGCTAAACAAGTTGGGGAACCAGGCTGCAGGTTATGAGGGTACGTACTCCTGATCTGAGCATGAAGTGGGATACTGTTGGGACCTATGTTGCCTGGGAAGATGAATTCCATGGTACTTTGATAAGACACTACACCTAACTCGTTCGATCGACTTAAAACTAGAATTGCATAAATGTTTAAATTTCTTCAATGTTATCTTGCAGCAGGTAGTGGAGTCACATGTCGGTATGTAATGTTGGGATTTTATTTTTTATTTTTTGATATGACATGTAAGCATGGCATTGGTTGGACATAGGCCTTATTAAAAAATTAAAAATAAAGAGGTTCACCCTAAAATTTTAAAGAAAATATTGTTAGAGACCCTATTCTTATATATATTTTTTTTATTGGATAAAAGAGGCTTAGGTTTAAATAAGTTTGGAAAAAAAATTATAAAATGACATACTTTTATTTGTGAATTCCTAATTTGGTCACGGTTATTTGAGATAATTCTAACGAGGCAAACTCACTACTTGACAAGAGACTTATTTCTCTAGCCTATGTGTGCAAGAAATCACTAAAAACTAAATTTGTTGTCAAATATCTAGCTTTGATTTTTGAATGTCCTCATAGATTATCTTTTGTAATGTCTCATGGAGACTAAGAGTTGAATAGCTCTTGTACTCCTCATTACAATAAAATATTTAATTCATTTAAAAAACTTGACAAGAGACTTTCCTACACTTATTTGTGGACTGAATGATTTACAATTTGCAAATAAAAAATTTTCAGCCCCAATTAATGTCTTAGCGGATAAAGTTTGAAATTTATAAATTAGAAGATTTAGGTAGGTATGGAAGGATTTAACAATCATTATTAGACGTGAAGAAAATAAATTTGAGTTGTTCAATTTGTTATATAAGTTCTAACCTCGAGAACATCCCATGAGTACCTCTTTGTTTTCCTTCCTTCTTTTATTTTATTGGTCTACCTTAAATGAGCACAATGTTAGGTCATATTTTATATAATATATATACTATTTATAATATTATTAGATATTAAACGAATTAATATACATAATATCACTTATAATTTATTAAATAAAAATATTTAATAATAAAATAACATGTTATATTATACATATACATACCTCGATTACGCCTGATATTTTCCTTTTTAATTAACAACTTTGACTTTTAATCAGTAAGTTAAAAACTTTTCCAAACATATCCACTCACAACAGGTATCTGTAGCTTGCCCTTGGATGGGAAACTCCAGAAGCACGTAGATTGGCTGGGTGTACTTGACTTCGTGGCTGTTGCTTTTACTGCTTTCTTTGTTTATGCGTTGATTGGTTGATCTGATTCTTTATGCTTTGATTTCTAAATGCAGCAGTTAAAATGATAATGTCATGAGATTAGTAATTATTAGTTGAGTTTATAAAAATAATTAAGTAAAAAAATATTTAAAATTATATTATTTTAATAAAATATTATAAAAAATTAAAATAACATCATTTCTATTATAAAAATTAAAATATTTTAGTCTTTTTTAATAAATATTTGTTAAAACAATATAATTTTTAAATATTTTAAATATTTTTCTATTCAATTTTTTGTAATTGCAGTTAATATATACTTTTCTCTAACATTGTACCTAGTGATAATAACATCTCAAACAGATTTAAAAGTTAGAAATTAACTAATATGTTTTTATAGTAAATTAGCTAAAAATTTAAGAAAATTATTGAAAATCCTGCATGTGGGCTCAATACAAGGCTTGCATCCAACTTAAAACCAATTGGCGATAGGTGGAGTAGCCCTCCTTGTATTTAACCCACAAGCTTCTTATTTTTATACTCGATGTGGGATTTTCCCACTTAACAAAAATGCTATGCGGGTAATGTTTTAAATATAATATATAATTTTCTTATAATATTACATATTGTTATAATTATTTCACTTAATAATTTATTATAATATTATATATATCTATTTATTTAAATATTATATCATATTATAAAATGTACAATAAAAGATAATATTGTACTTGTAACATTGCCCAATAATTTATCTTAAGGACCCTCACTCGTGTAGTCGTGTGTGTATATATCTTGGAATTTCCTCTGAACCTTGCTTTTAATAATTTTCTTACCATTTGGTCCTATTCTTTCTTAATTTTTTGTTCTGGGAGCAAAATTCTCAATCTTTGCCAAACCCAATTGATTTTTGGGTCAGAAACCCAGTGGACTAATTGCCCCAAAAGGCTAAACTAAGAATGAAAGGGTCAGCTTAAGTGGGCCTGACCTAAGAGGAATAAGAAACCCAGATCAAAGTGGCAAAGATCTGGGTACGAAGCCCGTGTCTAAGACGGTTGAGTTGGGCCGATGTCAAATCCTTGGACCAGAGTGGGGATCATCTTCTTCCTAATTTCATAAATATAGGGTTAGGGTTTTACATGCCGACTCTGATTTTGGGGTCTGTAGTTAGGGTTTTAGAGTGAAGAGAGAAAAGGGAGAGCAATAATGGATTCTTTCTCGACTGGTTCAAGCGGAGCAGGATCTCATCAAATGTCACAATCGGAATTCATGGAGCAGATGAAGCTCCAGCTTGCCCAAGCTTATGCCCAGGAGTTCGTCGAGGTTAGATTGCCCTTCCTATCTCTATCTCTTCTATCCCGATTTATTTCCTTTTTCCCCTTTGTTTGTTGAAATTTTCTGTTTTCGGAACCTTCCTGCTTCTTCTTCATCATCTTCTTCTTCCTGTTGGATAATTACTGTGTGCCTTTGGTTTTATAGATTGGTAACTAATATAAGTTGTTTGAGGATCTGAAATTATAGATGTGGTGGTGCATAAAGTAATTGGAAGAGAAATATCAACATGCAGGAAACAATTTTGAAAGTAAAAATTTTTAGTGAATCTATGATTTAGTTGTTCATTTACATAAAACCCATCAGCAAATCAGGCCTTGGTTCTTTCAGCACTGTACCCAATTTACATCTCGAGTCTCAAACCATGCTTCTCCTAATCAGTAAACTACCTGATCCACACCCCCTTCATCACTCATAAGTTTGTAACAATTGCTCTGTTTTTTTAAAAAGAAAAAGAAAGATAAGTTGTTTTCTTTGCAACCATAACATGCAGATGTTTTCTTCAGCCTTCTGCTGGCTTTCTAAATTAAAGAGAGTGAACTCTTTTTCTCTCTTTTCTGTGTGTTATTTGAAAAGCACCTAAAAGAATTTCCAAACTGCCTATTTTAGCGATCACCTGGGTTGCAATGTTTAACTTCCTTGCTATAAAAGCTTGCTTGTAGTTTTAACAAAAGTAGGTAACGTTCTAGCAGTGGCAAAAATCCAGCTAAAGGAAGTGGTACCATGGCACCACTATATGTGATTAGTGGCCCATGTCAAAATGTGCATCAATATACTAGAGATGAATCCTGTACTGACATAAATGATATATATTTTCTTGAAATGTTGTTGAAATTTAATAAGTCTTTCAATCTCGCGTATAAGTGCCAGCAACATGTTAAGAAGATATTTCTCTGGGATCTAATTGTTGAATATGTTGATATAGCCTTGGTGCTTGGTGCTTGGTGCATGGTTTCCATCTCTCAACTCTTATATGGTTTTCAGCAAGTTCCTTCATTTGTTTTGTTCAAATCTGCATAATTTTTCTCATTTCATAAATTATTTTCTGCATTCAATTGGGCTCCAATAGTTTTATTATTATTATTATTTGGGATGACTCTTATTGTTTTATCAACAAGAAGAGATTCTTAATTGAAAATATTTATGTATTTATGAACATTGTTGTAGAAAGAATACTATGCTTATGTTTGTAGTTTTATCGAACATTTAAAGAGCTTTTTATCATTATTATTTGCTATTTGTTTAGGCAGATTAACAATTCTCTACCTTAGCTATTTCTCAATTGTTTTTTCATGTATTATGCAGACTTTGAGGGAGAAGTGTTTTGACAAGTGTATCACAAAACCAGGATCAAGTCTGAGTGGAAGCGAGAGTAGCTGCATCTCCAGGTGTGTGGATCGCTACATCGAAGCATCTGGTATCGTTGGCAGAGCTCTCTTTAAACAGTGATATTGAGGACCATGGAACTCAATTAAAGAATATCAAACCTGCTGTGCTCGATTTTTCAAGTAATATGACATTTTAGAGGAGTGTAGAAATTATTTGGTTTTCTATTATTTAAGTACTCTTAAGTTCCGAGTCCTGCAACTTCAGATCTCCAGAGTCTGAACTTTTACATGTTATTTTATTTTCTTTGAGCATACCATAATAACTAACAATCGTGAAGATTGCAACTTCAATTTAATCTGAACTTTTACATGTTTTTTTTTTCTTTGAGCATGGCATAATAACCAAGAATCGTGAAGATTGCAACTTGAATTAACAGGCAGAGACAGTCAGCTATTTTTTCCTTGCGCTTCTCCTTCCTCATGATCTCCTTCTTTTGCCTCTCAAAGCAATGATGCATCTTCTCAAACTCGAGGTGGTTTTTACTCCTCGAGTAGTATAGAGCCCGATTCATAATCTTTAGACTCTTTGCTCCATTGAGTTGTGCCCCACTACTGTCCTCAAAATACAAGCATATCTTCGTACATATCAAGTGCCCTTTCTTTTCTATTACCCTGCATCTGGCCAATATAAGGCACCTTGCCAATTTTTGAGGCAGCACGCTCTCCTCTACAGGGAGAATGCATCCAAAATGCATCACATACTCGCCCTCATATGGCCAGCATTTTTTCACCAACATTGGCTTCCAGCTTGACAGATTAACTGCTTTCCCTCTCTTCTTGTCTAGGAGAATCCAACTCAGCCTGATGCCCTCTTTCAGCTCTTTGCAGTAATCTGTAGATTCTGTGGTCTCTGCTACTGGCACTACCGTGGAGGAAGGACCTGAGCCTGCGTTTGTATCTCCACTGTTGCAGAGAAATTCATTGTCATCAAGGTGGAGATCATTTCCATAAACATTGTCTTCGTCATCCTTGATTTCAAAGAGGTCCAGTTTAAACAGGCAATTATTGAACCAATTTTCAAGGTCACTCATGATTTCATTGTCTTCAGAGGCGTCCACAGCATCTGGTATGCCATCAACAACCCGGGAAGAAATGCATTTTTTCCTGTGGTAAACATCTATGAATGAAACTAGATTCGATGGGGAGACATGAGCTTCAGGGGAGATGCCACTGACATCTTTCTCGTGCAAAATCAGAGGGAAGGAGTCAGCATAGAATTTGTCAAAACCCTCAATTCCAGATGCCAGAATAAGTCGTCGGCCTTCTTCCAGTGCCGTAGAAGGCCATGTTGAATGACAGAGCCGCCTCCATAACATCTGATCCCGAGCAATATCTTTGATTTCACAACATGTGCAGGCGGCTGAGGCCAAAGTCGAACCATCTAGTCGAGCCATGATATCTTCTAGGAGGTCTCTGCTCAATTTCTTCATATTTTCTCCCTCTACCTTAGCCAAACCCATGGGAATGTGTGAGAAAGAGCACAAGAGCCTGCAACTTCCTTTAAATGAAGGTCCAGAACTTGGGATTGATGAGAAGTACGTGGGAGGAATGTATCACCATCCTTTGGATATTCCAATGACTTATTGGATGGAGATATAAGCGAACTTGCAATGATTTATTGGGATTGTCAATTACTTTTCATCGTACCAAACCTGTATCAATTTGACCAGGAAATGGTTTCCAAGCAGAAAGCAGCTGTCTACTAGATAATTGGCACAATTTAGGCCCGAGGTCGCTAGTGGAGAATTTGCGTGCCATCCACGTCTTCTTCAGCCAACTACCTTCTGAGGGCATTAGAGTTTCCTATTTTAAGTCAATTCCCTAATTGCCTCCCTTAATGTCTCAATTGATATGAATTTGAAATTTAAAGTTAAAAGTAATAAAATTAAAACGGAAGTTGAATGCATCAAGTTCAAATTTTTAAGTGGATTAAAAATTTTGAAAAAGAGAAAAACAGCCTTATTTTTTAGCCCCAATTATTAAATGTACCAAAAGATTAGCTCTAATTATACTATCTTAATGGTCTTCTAGCATTGCACCATGGATCCAAAAGATTAGCTTTATAGGGTAGCTTCTCCTTTTAAGATGCATACAATCCGAATGTTTTGTTCTATGAATTATAATATATCCTTACCGTTAAAAAAAAAGGATAATGATTTACGAGACGAAAGTGGGGAGCGAAAATGGAAGCCGACAAGTGAAGTTGGTTAAATGGGTAATTTTGTAATTTAACCAACTTCACTTGTCTTCACTTGTCGGCTCTCATTTTCGCCCCCCACTTTCATCTCGCAAATTATTATCCAAAAAAAAAAATGGTCTTCTAGCTTTTATTATTACGGGGATAAATATTTTCCAAAAATGAAGTACACAAGCATTCATTATTACTTCAACTTAATTTTAATGTCGTCATACATAAATGTTAAGTAAACATCTTTTAAGCTTTCAACCTAACGTTTGGTTGGCTTGTACGATGGCTTAATGTCTCTGTTTTATGGTTACTTGAATAGATTTAAGGAATTAATGAACACTTGAAATTAACCTAAAAATTAAAAACAATTAAAATTTTTTTTAAAAAAACCCTAAAATCTAGCCAAAATTGAAGTAAAAAATAAAAAAAAGATTGTCTTTTTTGTTGGAGAAAAATGGAGAATAGAAGGGAGGAAAAAGGAAGGAAAATTGAATGATACGAGAATTAGAGATTATTTTAAGAGTTTAGAGTAAAATAAAAGGTTTAACTCCCTATTTAACCCCTTAGCTTACAAAATTTAAGGTTATTAACCCCTCACAAAAAAAATTTAAAGGTATTATCCCCTTAACAATATAATTGAGAAAAAATTATTTTTATTTAACAGACTTTAACTCAGATTATTAGTCAAACTTGATTTTCATCCTAATTAATGATATAGTCAATATCTCTATTCTATATGGCATGCGACCATGGCACTACCTTTTTCTATTTAAAATGGCAGAGTTGGGACTTGTGGTTTATTGGGTGAGACATTGGATTTTTGTTTCTGTTTTTTATTTTATTTAGTGTAATAGGGTGTGGTTCATATTATACTAAAGGGGAAATATTTTGTCCATCTCCACAATGGCATGCCACATAGGATAAGGGATGTTGACTATGTCGCTGACTAGGATGGAAATCAAGTTTGACTAAAGGTATGAGTTAAAATTTATTAAATAAGGGTGAATTTTCCTCAATTATATTGTTGAGGGACTAATACCTTTAAGTTTTTATATGAGGGATTAAAACTTTAAAATTTATAAATTAAAGGGCTAAATAGGGGGTTAAACCCGAAAATAAATTGTTCTCATTATTATTATTTTTAAAAAAATGTTTTTAAATCCAAACTATAGAACTTAAATCATTATATAGAGATTGTGATAGGTACTCTAATATTAGAGTTTATTTTCCCATCCAATAACTCTTATTTTGCAAAGCATCATATTGTAGAACAGAGGAATCTCATTATTATAATTCTTTTCTTTAACTTTAGAAGTATTAGTTTGATTTTTTAATTTTTAAATATAAATTTTAGATAAAAATTTAACAATTTATATAAATAATAATTAAAATTTTTTTT